AGAAGTGGTTCTGTCTGAGGACGGTTGAGACGTTGGCTGCTTGCCAGTTTTTTTCTTGCCCTTTGTGATTCCCACCGTCCCTGTTTTGTTAGAAACTGTCTCCTTTGAAGCTTTGGGACGAGATGAGGTGGAAGAAGTAGATGGCGAAGCTGACGCTTTGGAGCCAGTTGTTTTTTTTGAATGAGAGGAACCAGCTAAAATAGAGAGATTTTTGCATTAAAAGTCAAAGAAGACAACACTTTCCAAATAAACTAGCTGAGTTGCAATTATCAATGACAACGTTCCCTTTAAAATTTTTAAAGATATTGAATAAATGAATAAAGTAAAATAGGCTAATAATCAAAATGGTTTTGTTTCCTGCCCTCTCCCTGCCTCCAATCTAGAAGGGAGCAAGCGATGTGTGAAGCAAAACCCTAACGGACAAGATTCCTCGGTCGTCTCCTTGCTCTGGTCTCTGGCTGGGCTGGGTAAAAGGAAATCCTCAGCTCCTCGTCTGATGGGTCACCTGAAAAAGTCCCCGTATGCGCCAAAGGGACATTATCTTGTGTAGAGGAAGACACAGGCAGCTCTCTGGGGACAGTACAAGGTTGGGTTTATCACAAGTTATACATGTTCTATGCTGACTTCCTGGAAACAGAGTGGCCCACACTCAGAAGAGGCCGGGATATGATACCACCAGCAACTTTTTGGGTCCAAAGCAAATCTACTCGTCTTGTTGCTAAAAGAATCAACTCCAAACCAGCTGTCCCCATGGCTCCAGAGGGAGCAGTGTGCCACGCTGGCTCAAACCTCCATCTGTAGTGGCTCTGGGGCAGAGTGAAAACACATGGCCACATATATAAGACAAGTCCCCTTCAAAACATCAAAAGGCAGAAAAAAAGCTTTTCTACCAAAAAATAAATGTCTAAATGGGTACCATTTGATAATTTGAATGGAAAGAATATCATTCTCAGATCTGACAATGGCTTCTGTTCGTAGAAGGTCTTCATCTGAAGATGGCGGTAGCGTATTTGCCTACTTCTGGATAGGGCTGGCTTCACCCAAACCATTTTCAGAAAAAAAAGGTTAGCTCTCCTTTTCTTTATATCACCTTAGAAAGACATCTAAACTCTTATGAGAATACACTTTTGTTTCATGACCTATAAATTTCTCCTAATTGTATGTTCCTTCTTTTTTCATGAGGGGTTTAACTATCTTCCACAGAGCTATCAGAAATTATCCTGTTAGTATTGGGAAGCCATTCTACAACGCATACAGATGTTATTGTAACTTACCTCTGGTTATAAATTTATTGAAGTCAGTTGTGGGGGTCAAGAGATGAAGAAGCAATAAGGAATAGACAATGAGATGTAAGACTTTCATCAAGTCTAATATATTACAAGAAGCCAGTCTCACTTCGTAACAAGATCCAGGCTTAAAAGAACTCTATAGCTTGGGTCTTTTTCATTTTAGGTATACACAATAACTAGAATTCTCCTCCTGCAAGTCTGGGCCTGTTAATATAACTTTTTTTTTCATAGTTCTCTCTTTATAGACTCTGGTTCTAGGAACAGCTTGCCTATGGCCAGCTGGGCTTAATACTACTTTTTTGAAGTTAACAATCTTCAGTTGCTTAGAAGGCAAACGTATTAAGCCTATAGTCTAAGTCCATTCGAAACTTATTTTTCACAATGAAGATACTAAGGATTTTATGTCTAAACATGTTCAATTATTTTCTTAATAAACTGAACAGAATTCTTTTCACATATTGATTCTAATTCTAATACACACACACACATATATATATATATATATACACATATATAACTAAATTTTTTTTTTTTGAGAAAAGTATTTTCTGACAACAAAGTTAACTTTAGCCTGCGGCTTAAGGAAAAAGACAATGTTTTTCAAAGC